TTTTTTGACCAAGGTCAAACGACGTGTCACATTGTATGCTTCAAAACTTTTTACAGGAGAGGTATAAAGAGTTCATATTTTGGATTTATAGGGTCCTAACCATGGCCTATCGTTTCAGAATATCAAATCGAAAATCTAAATTTTGAGTGGTACCGGCTTGGCAGGTCGTCTGGCGGACCCTCTCTTAATGATCAATAAATTCCCGACATCTATTGAATTAAGTTTATAATTGGTTTATCTTTTTAGTAAATCATATTCAGTGAAAACAGCCAATGAAACAAAGACCTATTTCATCCGGTCTGTTTCTTTTTCTGAACTCGTCAAAAAAAAAAATTTCTCTCTCTTTCTCAACTTACATATTTCGAAATCTTTTCTTTTTTTGAATTTTTTTCTGTTTGTGCATGTGCTCATGCTAGACGATAAACAATCATCTATAGTCCGTCCAAAAGCTGTACCGCCTATGTTTACACCTGTTTTAACACAAAATTCACAATCATCATCAATAATGCATAGTACAAATCGATTATCACAACAAGCTCTTACAGAAATTGGTACAATGATTCGTAAACATGATCGAGATGCTACACGTTTATATGATTGTATTGGTCAAGTAAAAGTTTTTTCATATAATTCAAATGAATTACGTTGGGAAAATTCACCTAATATTGAAGGAAATTTATGTGTCTATGAAAAACAACAAACAATTAATAATAGAATATGTCCATCATATGCATTTGCAATTATTAGTGGAGAGAAATATCTTATACAAGCAATTACATCGGATATGGTACAACATGCTGATAAATTACGTTTATTCTATGAAGTTGCTCGTAATGATCGTCGTGAAGTTTTTTGTTTACATTTTTTAACTGAATCTGAATGTCTTCGATTAAGTACATTTCTTGGTCGATGTATTCAAGCTATACGAACCATTGAGGAACAGCAACAACAACAACAACAACAGCAGCAAGCTCGTATAATACCATCTTCTGTTCCTATTGATACTCAAACACAATTAAATGGACAGATACCATCAACTATGTCTGTTCAACAAACACCAACAAATGTTTACCGACAACAAATACCACAGCAACCAATTATAGTAAGAATAAAATCTGTTTTTCAAATTGATTTTATATAAAACAAAAAACAAAAAAGAATCAAATACTTATATTTGATGTTATTGTGTTATTTGGTAATCATATGACAGTACAAAAAAATATCGTTTTGACCTTTTTGTCGAGTGATTCATATAGCAACATCTTTTTTTAATCTACCATAAAATCGAGCCGTTTTCTTTTACTACATAATTAAGTAATAGAGTTTAGTGTGAATATTTGAAACTTATGAAAAGATGACTGAAATGTTTAATGAAATTGTTAATTAACAGTTTTTGAGAAGAGATCGTCATCCATAGAATAGAGGTTCGTTCGAACCTTTGAAAAATTGCTGAATTCCTGTTACGTCTCGGAGAGAACATTTTTTAGCAGATATATAGAATCTACCTGTGGATAAACGCACGTTCAGGGAATTTTTGAAAATTCTAACACTTCTGATCCTTCGATAGTAGACTGACACATTTCTAAAATATGTGGTCATGAATACAAAGGCTCAATGAACCATTCTTTTTGAAAGAAAGCTAAGATTATAATAATAGCATAAGAGATTAGTCGGATTGAAATCATTTCATTTTATTTTCAAAACTCTTTATCAATTGTTTTCTTTCATGTATTGTTACTCTGTTTTAAATGCTGCTATAATAGTATTGATTTATAAAAATAAAAGATAGATTAATATTTTTCGAATAGCTTTCGCTAGGAAGAAGATAGAGACCTGTAATTTTCACTATTTAAAAAAGTGGACATAGAATTAGATGTATTTTCGACGTTGCTGACTTATTCTATTCAAGAGTTATAAGAATTTTTTTTTTTTTAATATCTCAGATATCGGTCAAGTAATCTTGTAATATTGCTGAAAAGATCAAGACATGATTGCATCGAGATTTTCTATATATCACCAATGATTGGTATGATATATATTGAAAGTCGGTCGTTCGTAATAAAGTCTTTGTAGATCGTTTTGAATTGTTCTAAGATCATTTGGTGAAAATCCGAGATTTCTTAAAAATTCGTAGTGTTTAACAGAAAAAGCTAGAGGTTTCGACTTTGCATAGATCGAAAATATTTTTGCAGAAAACTCATTTTATTGGTCGATTTTCAGACGAATTAATTAATTTATTGTGAATATTTCAGTTACAAAATCCAACAACATCTCAATTCGGATCATCTCGTGTTAACATTAACCAAACTCCAACTCGTTTAACTGCATCATCAAACATTGCTGTTCAGCAACAACAACAACAACAACAAAGTAATTCTTATCCTCCTCAAATACCTATTGATCTTATTCATACAAATCTACGACGTGTAACTCCTACTGTTCCATCAACATCCCTTGGTCAAATTGAAGTTCCAAAAACAATCGAACAAACTCCATTTCCTCCTTCACCTGTTCCATTAACAAATGGAAATAATAATAATAATAATAATAACAATAACAATAGTACTGAAGATCCAACATCATCACTTAAACGGCTTCTTAATATTCGTGGTCAAAATGCTTTAGAAAATCTCTCTCTTGATGATAGTTCAGTTTTTACAAAACAACAAACACAACAAAATTTACTTGATCTCATGCCACCATCAGCATTTGAACCAATAGCAGCAACACCACCATCACCTGTTGTTGCTATTGGTGCTGAACGTACGAAACATCGTTTATCAACTCAATTGGCTCCAACAATGAGTCGTGAACATTTTCGTAATGTTCTTATTCATCTTGTTCAAAATGATGATCATTTTCTTGATATTATTTATCAAGCATGTCTCACACATCCTCCAACATCACAATAAAATATTTCAAAAGCAAAAAAAAAAGAAAATATCTATAATATATAAACTTGCATGTGTACCTCTTTTCTCTTGTGTTTGTTCGTTTTTCTCTCGTCTTCGTATATTATTTGTCTATACGTTTATTGTATTTGTTTGTCATTACAAAAAAAAAGGCAAAATATCCTTTCTTGATTAGCAATGAAACAAAATTTATTCGTGCTTGTTTTTTTTCTTTTTTCATTTGTTCAGATTTCAATATCAAAACATATTCACTTCATTAAATATTAATCTTAATGTATTCGTGAAATAATCTATGCGATTGAAGATTTTAACATCGAGAGTTTTATTATAGAAACCTTAAACTTCATTTCCTATGATAATCGAATAGAACATTTAAATTCGAAAGTCAAATCAATATTTGAACAATTTGTTATCAATTCAAGGTAAAGAAATGGAAAACATTAAACTATTCTGAATTCGCTGATAAGCCTCAAGCCAATAAAAACATATATGCATGTATGTCGTTTATCGTTAAAGGCGATTTCTCTTCTTAATATGTTTTCGTATCATTTTCATGAAAATTATTTCAAGTCCAACTAAGTCATAAAATATAATACAGAAAAAATTCATAAAAAAATGTAGATCAAGCTAATTTATGCTAGTAAAATAAATCACTCTATAGATTGTAGATTTTTCATTTAAGCACGAAATTTCACTGTGATCGGTAGCTTGAGATACGGAAATTTGCTGTAAAAAAAAAAAGTTATCTTCAAAAAGCAAATTTCCATTTCATAGTGTTCCTAGATCTAGATAAGAAACAGAAGAAATAAGTATTCTACAATTGGGCTCATATCAATGTTAAACACTCATCTGTTGTTGATGTTTGAAGTAAAAGATGACATAGATGATAATAACATATTAACATGAAGAATAAGAAGTGTTAAAAAAGAAAACCTTGAGTATAGATAATATTGGTCTTTTTCCATTGCAACAAATCGTTTTATTTAAGCAGTTAATAAGATTACAATATGTAAGCGTGCACGTATGATATATTAATTAATTTATATGAATCAATATGTACCTTTTCCTATGTTATTGATTATTATAAAAAGGAAACGAAAATATCAAAGAGAAAGAGCCGCCCTATATGACAAAAGACATACATTGATCTGTATTCTTATTAGCTGAAGGCTTATAAACGAATTCGGAATGACGCTCATTACAGTAGAATATTTAACGTATTTCATGCTTACCAAAATCTTCAACAACAGATAGAAAATTTAGTCATAAATCATTATGTGTATATACATAAGAGGTGATCTATAGAGAATTCGACACTTATTTCTCCTTTTTTTTTGGTAGCAGTGCAAACACAGTTAAGCCATTTTGTTTTCTCAATTGAAAATAGAGAAAATTGACATGTATAAATTTATGAGAGTCTATGCTCATCAAATTCGATGCTAAAATAAAACCCTTGGAATTAACATATAGTGAAATTTTTGGATGCACATTCAAAAGTTAGATTTGTATATCGATGGCTTTACTATGTCTGTATACGATCATTTTTTATTCTGTTCAGGCTTTTTTATTATGAAAAAAAAAATTTGATAATTTTGTTTTTAAATTTTATTCAAAAGAAAAGAAAACGAATAACTACTAAATCTCTTTAAACAAAATTCAAACATTAATAATTTTCATGTTGAATTTTATCTACATATTTTCATTTGATTTTATTTGTGTTAGTTTTTCTTGTTCACGTTGTTTAATAAGTTGATCAGTTTGTTCACTTAATTCTTTAATTTGTCCACCAAGACATGGTGGTGTACGATATTTTTCATTTAGTTTAAGTCCACGACGAAAACTATCATACCATAATGTTGGATTTGGTGTATATAAACTTAATGCATGAATTTTATGTTCTTTAACAATATCTTTAACTAAATCATTTAAACGTCTATGTCGTTCAATTATTGGCATTGATTCAAATGCATGTGTTATAACAGTTAATTGTAAATGAGTTTCTTTTCCTGGTTTATAACCATTGTGTTTATAACTTTCATTAATAAGTTCAACATGATATGGTTTTAAATAAGATTTTTCAATTGTTTCTTTAATTAAAGTACATACAGGACCAAATTTTGTTGATGTTAAACGAATTTGAATTAATGAAGTTTGTAATGATTGAAATAATTTACCAGCAAACATTATAAAATACTTTACGTTAAATAATAAAAAGAAATAAATCTATAGAAATTAATTATTGGTCAATATATATGAGAAATTTCATAGAATATTAAAATTAATATTATGATTTCTAATAGAAAAATAGAATAAGATTTAGAAAATAAAATTTTTCGTTTTTTCGATTTATTTAATAAATACAAAGATATATATATATATAATTTATAGATGTCGTTAGTTTATATATAATTTGTCTTATTCGTTATATGAAAACGAATTCTTGATCAGTAGAAAAAAGTCAAGTTTAAATTCAGTAAAAATGAACATTTTTATTTTTAATTTTTTTTGAATTATTATTTATTGATTTGAGAATACAAAACCTGACCTTGTGAAATAAAATATTGATTAATTTAGAGAAAATTTCTCAATTTGTACTCATCATTCGTTATTTCTATTATCATTATATCTCTATAGTGATCAATGAAATAAATGTTTAACTATCGAATAAATTTACACTGTTCCATTGTTTACCCCTGAAAAAAAAATAGAAAATAATACTTGTGGATTATATTTTTGAGAATGAACAGAAATTCATTCAAAACTTGGTTTGAATGAATTCTTGACAAATGAGATGTTTTCGCTTAGAACTACAATTTTTCAATATTATTCTAATGGATTTTGTAGACTATATTTATTTTTAGATGACATTACTCGAACGATATTTAATTGCAATTGATAAATGTTATGTACAAAGTTTAAATGATCCAGAGAATGAACCGTATAAATCGAAATATGAAGCAAAAAAAATATTTGAACAATTACATGAAGAAAATATTGATGAAGAATCAGATATTATGAAAAAAGAATTCGAAACTTTAGATTTAATCGAAGAAAATAATCAACAAATATTTATTATTATAAAATCAGATCAACAAGCAAATGAACCATCTAGTAAATAAATATTATTATTCTTATCAATTATAAAATGATGAAGCAGTTTGTTCGTTATTAGCAGCAGAAGAAAAAATTCATTTTTATCCTATCTTGTTGATTACATTGGGTAATGTGTTTAAATGAATAGAGACGGTAGAGAATGTTATCAGTTGGAATTCAACATTTTTTTTTTTTGTATTTTAATTCAATGCCTTGGTCCTTTCAGAGATTTTTCTTGTATCCTGAAATAAAAACATCGACTTTGGCGATGTGAATAGGGGGGGGGGGGGGGCTTTCTTTATAAATCATTCTATCTCAAGTTTATCTTTATATAGTTTTTCTCGCATACTTGAAGGAAATCACAGTATTGACTAAAAAAATATAATAACTTTACAGCAATAAATAAATCATCAGAACTCATTTGGACTTACATGATACATATAGTTCAGAATAAAAAATGATTAAGCAGCTTGAGAATAATTAGAAAACTTCAGCAAAGGATAATATCAACTGTACAAGACACAACTATTCAGACTGTATCTTTTTTTTTGTTTTTGAGTTTCAAAAAAACATCGATATTTAATTAATTTATTATTGGATTATCATATTGGTACAATATGTAGTGATACAGCAGAAAGAGGTGAAGGTGAATTATATTTACGTCGTATATTAACATCAATTGAACAAGTACTTAATCATTCATTAATTTGTTCTCTTGCATTAAATTTATTTAATCAATTACTTATTATTCGTACATCATATGAACATTATAATGATGCAATTGAAATAGCTAAACGTGCTGAAAGTCTTTATAATCAATCATTATTAATTGAACCATATCTTTTACGTGAAATAATTAATATTGATTTATTAATTCAAACAAATGATCGTCGTGAAGAATTTGAACAAATATATACTCATACATTTTTTTATCTTGCACAAATCTATGCTAAAATTAATGATAAAGATCAATCAGCTAATTATTGTCGTTTAACACTTGAACGTCAATTAGAAATGTTTCATCGACATACAATAAAACATTTTGATCCATTAGATTGGGCAACAAATTGTGCTACACTTTCACAATATTATATGACAAATCATGATTATGCTACAGCTAGACATTGTCTTATGTGTGCTGATAAAATGTTAGAAAATGTTAAAACAAATGATCAACTACCTGAACGAACAGCAAGTTTTAAACGATGTTGGATTAAATATGCAATTAATTTATTGAGTAAGATTTGTTTGAATCGATAAAATACTTTTAATTAATATGATCGAATCTATATTACAGAACTTCTTTTATATCTTATCAGCACAATGACGAAACGAAAACTTTCCCTCAACTGACTACTACATGGAAGATTAGATGTATCTGAGTGCTGTTAAAAATAATTGAAATTATTTTCAAAAAGAAAAAATTACAAAAATATTTGTCTTCCATCCTTTTTGAATGTGATGAGTAATTACATATTTAATTTCTATAGAAAAAAAAAAAATATCTGTTTCAAATAGATGTTTTAAGGGAAATAATATTTTTATCTTGAAAATCTATTGTAAGAATTAAAATAGTAGAATTTTACTTCCAATAACAACTAGTATGAAATAGAATAGTTATTGTTTTATAGACGATTCGATATGATCTGTAATCTGAACAGATTCAAAAAAAAAAAATGTTTAGGAAAAATCTAAGAGTATTTCTCCTGGTTCTATTCGAAATTAGCTTAGTCGATAACCTACATTCTAAGTTATCATAATTGACGTAACAAATTCATAAATAAGTTAAATTAATAATTTTATTAACATCACTAAAGAGAGAATCTATTCAGCTATTGCACTTCGTCCTATCTCATAGTTTTGGCTATGAATAGAAATCAGTGAAATTAAGAAAATTCGGAAGTGTTTCGGATCTACGAGTTATCCGATAGGTACTATATGAATAGTATGCTGACGATTTTATGACTTATACATCACCAAGTAGCACTCTATACTGCTCGGTACGGGTATTTTTCCTTTCTTTCTTCCTCACCAAATATAGTTCTAGTCGTTTTAACATGATGAACATTTAAGGATGGTTCAGATAGCTGAAAAACCTGTTAAAACTATTATAACTCTAACTAAATCATGCATAAGCTCGAATCCTTTGAAAGATTTTAAAGTTTTATCGAGTCTCATATGGGATTAAACAACATCCAACACTCTCCACAATTATTAATGTCCATTTCAGAGTTAAATGGCCGTGGGCATTTTTTGAATAACTTTTGATAGAAACTAGATAGAGATCAGCGATTTTCACTGTTCGAAAGAGCAGATGAAGATGCACCGAATTATATATAGAAAGATTTTTCCAGCTACTTTTCTATGGGTTTTGCATTAAACTTCAAGAAAAACAGTATGCTTCTCATGGTCACGGTATTAATTTATTGATTTTCAGGAGTGCGCTAGAATCGCCAAAGGAAGGGCTACAAAACTATATCAAGACTCTNATCTATAATTTTCATTGTTCGGATTTACTGAACAATCCTTTTTATCAATGCAATATGCAATAGATCTAAGCAGCAAAATTTACAGCTAATGACTTCTAGTATTGAATCAGTCAATCTGCAGGAAAATGTATTTTACGGTTGAATGGCTTCTATGGGATATTGTAGATAAATTCGGCTATGCTCCCAACGGAAAGTTCCTTTTTGTATTAGAAACCGTGAGTATATCCTGAAATGTACTGCAATAATTATCGAATAGTTAAAAAGTTTTATATCTTTACTCTAAGCAAGCTATCATAGAAATATTGACTAAATGTTGCCAAATGGCAACATCCGGCCGGAAAGGGTTAAGTATGATAGCGAGAGATGCGGATAGACAAGTCCGGAATGAAGATTATAGTTAAATATTGTATGATTTTAAGCGAATTATCTTATAAACTATAACAATTAAAACCTGATTCAAAAGTGATGAAAAACCTCGAATAGGTGCTGGTAGTTGATTAAATAAATCAATCAATGCGTAATGAAAAATTTTTGTTTTAGGTGTGATACGAATAAAATTTAAAATAGTTTTCTATATTGATTAGTCTATGAATTTGAAAGATATTTTCTTTTTGTAAATAAAATCTAAGAGAAAAATAATTTTCTAAATGAAATTTGAATTATATATTATATTCAATCGAAATAAAATATATTCTATTGTAGATTTTATCTTTAATTTTGATCATTTCCATGACAACTAGTTCATCAATAATGGTGAAATTTTCTTTACAATTTATTTTATAATATTTTCTTTGTTTTTTTTTGAAAATAGAAATCCCATTATCTGTTACCCGGTGAACGTGATAATAAATCATCAATTGTTCATACACATGGAACAATACAAAATAATTTTATTTCAATACCTCGTATTTATCAACCAAAAGAAAATGATTATGTTATTGGTATTGTTATTGTTCGTACGCCTGATCTATTTCTTGTTGATATAAATAGTATTGAATCAGCTATATTACCAATTCCATCATTTGATCATGGTCGTTTACCAGCTCGTAATACAATGAATCGTTTAAGTGTTGTTTATGCTTATGTTGTACGTACAGATTCTTGGACACAAACAGAATTATCATGTCAATCAATAGATCGTTCAAAGAAAAGAAATGATTTTGGTCTTATTGAACAAGGAAATATTCTTCGATGTTCATTAGTATTATGTGAAAAATTACAACGATCACAATTAATAAATCAATTAAATCGTATTATAAAAAATTTTCGTATACGTATTACAAAAAATGGTTTTATATGGTATGTAACTGATACAATTAATTCAATGATTGCTGTAAAAAATATTTTATATAAACATGAATTTGAAAATAATATTGATTTTTTAATAAAACTTTATAATGAATTAATGACAAAACTTCAACAACAAGATGATAGTCTTATTAAAGTTAAACAACAACAACAACAACAAAAACAAATAATTGTAAAAAAAGATGTAGAAATAATTAAAACTGAACAACAGAAAAATCCTAATGCAGTTACACGTTTACTTTATGGAGTTATTCAAAGTATTCTTGATAAAATTATTGATGATATTGTAAACAATGAAAATAGATAATTTTATCTTTATTTGTTTTTTTTTTTTGTAAATATTTACAAAAATTTATTATTTAAACTTTCTATTTTTCTTTTCTTATTTGGATTAATCAATAAGATTTTCATTTTGAAAACATTTTAGATTTTCTTTGTTACGTGAATTATGAATAGTGATTCGGATAATGAAATGGAAAATGGAATGGAAGAAGAAGAAGAAGATATTGATAGTGATTTAGATGATGTTGAAGTAAGTTTAAATCAATTTAGGATTAATATACAAAATCAATCGTTCTCACGAGTTATTAATTCTAAGAGAAATAAAATAACATTCATTTCGATAATTAGTTTTAAAAAAAAGAAATGTGTGTAACTTCAGTTTATTGACCATTGACAAGAGTATCACTGTAGATGATACCATTCACGCTTGAAATGAGATCTGCCATTATGTAGGATTGATACTTATAAAAGACAGCTCTTAAAGAAATCATTAGAATCTACTGTACATGTTCGTCAAAAAAAGTAGTCTCTCTTCGAATTAACAAATCCATAAAAATCTATTATTTTAGTTTGTTTTGTGGATTTTGTATCTCGAGAAGAGATCATTCTTTTTCACTGGAATTTTTAGAAGATTCTAATGATTTCTTCAAAAGCAGTCGATGAGGAATGTTTTAGACCAAAACTTATTTGTTGGCGAAGGTAAACAATTCAGTGTAATTACCATAACTCCATAAGGACAGTGCATGGGAAAAAATCCTTCTAGTATCAACAGGTCCTATGTAACGATAGGAGCTTCATCTCAAACGTGAGACATCACCTTGGATGGTTTCCTCGTTTTGCACACTGAAGCTTTGAAATAGAACGTGAATGTCGCTACTTTGGTGAATATCGATGTTAGTATAATTAATGTATTAGCGGACCTTGTGTTCGGAAGTCACAATCAGTATTTACACCAATACTAGACATCAATAGTATAAAAATAGATTGCATAATGTATTAACGAGAGAACTTCGTCAAATGGTAGTTCATTTTTTAGATGAGTTTTATACTTCAATAAATGATTCTATTGATACTAAAGAAAATCTAAAGGATTTCTGTTTATGAGTTTTTTCTTTCTTGAGTTATGTTCATTTTATTATCTTTTCTAAGAAAAATATTGTATTCTCACTCAGATGATCATATTCAAAATCGAGTTTTAAGTTCAGAAAGTTTCATTTGAAATCATTGATTGCTATAAAGTAACAGATTTTCTGATAGTTTATAGTCAGAGATATAATTAAATATATAAGAACCAAATCTTTATTATTGGTATGAAAAAATCAAAGGCACTAGAAAATCTGATATTTTTCACAAGTAACTAAAATAATGGCGCACTTTATTTGTGTTGAGTTTAATATCGAAATTTGATTTTAAAGTTGATCAGTATGCGATAAAGGTATTTCCTTGTAAAAAATTGCTTCGATGTGTAGCCCGCCAGGTTGGTCTCGAATCAACCTGTGAAAGTGTCAGACATTTATAAATTGATTTATTATAAGATTAGCGGCAGGATTGTCTGCAAAATAGTTACTGGCGAAGATTTATAATCATTAGAAAATCTTAAAGATTTAAACGAAAATGAACATGTCTTTCTCGAGATATTTAACTTTCAAGTAGAGTGAATTATTGAATCGTTCTCCTACGGGTAAATGTTCAGTTTGTTTTAGAAAGTGAATGTAAAATGACTATAACTCTTCGCTAACAACTCACAGGCTCGAATTCTTTTAGACTTTTTTTCTTTTTTTCATACAGCCAATCTAACGAAATAAAACTTATCTTGAAAATAATTTGTTACTTGAAGAAACTTCTAGGTCATAGAGATTTTAATAGATGAAAAATGTTTATCATATTTATTATTATCTGATCGTCTAACATGATATGATAGAATTGTTTAAATGAAATTCTTTTTTTTATCTTTATATAATTTTTAAAATTTGAAAGAAAATAAATAAATAAAATAAAATTCTCGAAAAAAAAATATTCATTCAATAGAACACTGAACTTTTTTTTTTTAAATTTTATATATTTTTCGTGTCTTTTTTAGCTTCAAACAGCTTTTAAAGAAGGTCTTCTTAAACCTGGTTTAAACATCGAACAAAAACCTAAACGACCATTAATCAACAACAAAGTTCATACTTTTGTTTTCTTCGTAAACAAATATCATAGAAATTTTTTCTTTTCTTTTTAGGAAGCACTTACTGCTAAATATGCTGAAATCTATCTTGATTTACCATGGGGTGAACGACTTGATTGTACGAACACTCCATTAGTTGTTAATGAAACTAATTTACCTGCAAATGATGATGAAGCACTTGCTGATAATGATTTTAAACGCGAAATGCTTTTGTAAATTCGTTAAAAATAAAATATATAATTATGAATGCTTTTGTATCTTCTAGTTATCGTCAAGCTCAAGCAGCCGTTCTTGAAAGTATTCCTCGGTTAAAAGCAGAAAAAATTGCAACAAAACGACCTGATGATTATTATGCACAAATGGTCAAATCCGATGAACATATGAAAAAAGTAAAATAAATTTAAAATCTTTTTTTCTTTTTTGTATTAAAATCTTTTCTTTTTTATTTTGTAATTAGATTCGAGAATATTTAGTTAATCGTAAATCTGATATTGAAAAACGTGAAAAATTACGTAAATTACGTGAACAAAGATTATATGGTAAAAAAGTTCAACAAGAAGTTTTACTCAAACGACAAGAAGATAAATCAAAATTACTTAAAACAATGAAAAAAGTTCGAAAAGGTAAAATATAAACTAAACAAATAAAAATAAAAAGTTAGAAATTTAATTTTATCGATTTAATTTAGGAAAACAAGGTGGTATGCAAGAATTAGAAGAAACTCTTGGTGATCGAAAGAAAAATTTCGGAAAATCAAATGAAAATGATTATAAACGAAAGTAATATTGAAGAATGTGAAGAAAAAAATTATAAATTAAAAAAAAAAATCATTATTTTTATATAGTTCAAAAAACAATCGTAAACTCGAATATAAAAATAAAAAATTTGGTTTTGGTGGTCGAAAGAAGAATATTAAAAAAAATACCGCTGAAAGTTCAGCTGATGTATTTAATAAAAAATCTACTAAATGGCAACGTCCATCATTTCATGCACAAAAAGGCAAAAAGGTATATATAGTTTTATTATTCTTTTGTATTTTATTTTATTATGAAATTTTTTTCTTTCTTAGGGCAAACAAAAACCATCTCGACCTGGTAAAACTGCTCGTCAAAAAGCACGAACAAACAAATAATAAGAATTGTTATTGCTTTTTTTGTTGTTGTTTTTTTCTTCGTGTCCCTTTCAATAAACTTAAGGGATTTGCAGAAATAATTTTTTTTTATTTTCGATATTGTTGTAAACAATCAATTGTTTTGATTATATCAAGACATACATTGATGAAGAACTGATCAAGAATTTCTCTATAATTCAATGATATTGAAAATCAAAAGATTATATCATTTATCATAAATTTGAAATTAGAGTCCAATGCTTCGAAGAAAATCGGAACTGACGAGGGAAGGTCTCCAACTGTCAAATCGAGATCTCAATGAGCTATTAAATAGTCTACAAGGGTTTGGTTTTCGAAACATCCTGAGCAGAGATATGTGATTATTACTAATACTAGCTTTGTTATACTACTGTACCAAATTTGTATCAGTAATAATTAAGATCCCAGAGTTTGAAGATAAATCATTGTGTCTTATCGAAGATATGAATCTGTTTGACATACTGATTGATTATTAAAAAAGAGCATGTGCTCTTGCTCAAAGATATAAATATTTCAGCTTATTTGTCGATGCTTAAATTAATGAAAATTGGAAAAATGAATTCGTGTACTGATGTAGTTGAAAAGAGAATGATATGTAAAGTAAAATACGAAGTGTCTGGAGGAGTACATGATCGCGTTGAATCTATAAATTTAATTACGGCACATAACTTTTACTACTATTACAAATATGATGTGTGTGATTGTTTCTCGTGCTTGCTCATTCATTCTTCCAATTTTCATTAACTAAAACACCGACAAATAAGCTGACATTTTCACATGAATGCATACCATGAAATGAATGTGTGCTAAAAATGTTAGATAAATCAATACTTGCATCTTTAAGCAAGAACGCATGCTCTTCTTTTTTAATAATCAGTCAGTTTGTCAAACAGATTCATATCTTCGATAAGACACAATGATTTATCTTCAAACTCTGGGATCTTAATTAGTACTGATAGAAATTTGGTACAGTAGTATAGCAAAGTTAGTGATAGTAATAATCACATATCTCTGCTCAGAAGACCTGGAAAATCCAAACCTTGTAGACTATTTAATAGCTTACGGAGGTGTATCGTTTGAGTATATACTTGATCAAAAAGCGATTTGACAGTTGGAGGCCTTCCCTCGTGAGCCACATTGATAGGCATTATACTCAGTATGTACCAAAATACCACTAATATTTTTTTTCTTATTAATCAAACTAGCAGTAGTATGAACAATATCATCAGATTGAAGACCAACAAAAAGATCAAGTTTATGTTGTTTTTTATAATCAAAGCTATCATAATTTATGTTTTCTTTATCTTTGTGAATATTTGTGACTTTAAATGTGTACCATATATATAGAAGATGAAAATTCCAACTTGATCGAAAATGATTTACAAATAATTTTGTTCGAAAACACGTTTTTATTGTTTAAACAATATTGATGTCAACTTGTTTCAATATCTGATAAATCCTTCTTTTTAGTTGTAATTCCCTGTTTGTTTGTTAATATCTGTCTTGTACTTTATTGAAGAAAATTAGACAAAAATCTACTATAGATTGGACTTTGGGAACATTTAATGAATTGAACTATGTTGGTACAAATTTGATTTCGACTTGAAGAACTATTGGTGTTATTTTATTTAGCTAATATAATGATACCAAATTCGTTCGAAATATACATCAATTATTAGCATGATCTGCTTCATTAAATCAAAAGAAAGTTTACATTAACATTCGTTAGTACTTTCATCAAATTAGGCAAAATCATATGACGTGAATAAAATAACACTAATGACTTTTCGAAGCCGAAATCAGATTTGTATCAAAACAATAGAATTCACAAAATGTTCCAAAAGTCCAATCTGTAATAGACTTTCGTCTAAGTTTTGTTGATAAAGTGCATGGCAGGAGTTAAGAAACAAATATGGTGTTACAACTGAAAAGAAGAATTTATCAGTAATTGACACAAGTTGATATTAATATTGTCTCAAAAATAAGAAAAAGGGCTCTCGCACAAAGCTAAGAAAAGCTTCAAGATAAACCAGCATTTTCGATTCTTTGATTATAGGACTTCATATGTTCGTCATGAGAAGGTATTGCGTGTAAATAAGAAGCAGACAAGAATGATAATGAGTAGTAGAACAGGTGTACCATGAATTTCAATACTTTTCGAACACCCATTATATTCACATTTAAGATGTAACCGTTCTTGTAATCATGTCTTCGACTGTACTAATTAAATATACAGGATAAGCTATGTCTAGATGTGAAAGTAATTGGATATGTAGTTACTAAAAAGTTGTATCTCAATTCAAGTCCTTTTGGTATATCATAGACAGTAACATCGGTAAAATATCATTTTTCATTGTTATCAAATAAAAAATGAAAATTCTAACATTAGATTTCAACTGTGATAATAAGCTACGGGTTTATGAATCAAAATTTGAAATTTTCTTTTATAAACACGAAGGATATTAGTCCATGTAGTCAAAATATTGTGAAGATATAGAATATCGAGGGTGTGGGTGTGGGTGAAGTTCTTTTCTACATTCACACCCTCCTGTACACTAACACTTACACCCACGCCCATCCGAAACGAAAGTCTTCCCTAAAAATTTAATATCTTGGTTACAAGTCAAGAAGAACAAAATTTTTCTGACGGTTTTTACAGTCTGATAGTCTCCTAATAGTAGAATAAGAATGAATGCTAAAGCTTTCAATCATCTGAGCATCTTCGGTGAGAAAAAGGTAACATTTCTTTATTGAAATGAAGATTTCTTCTACGTTGATCACGATCCAGGATAAGATCTTGCTTCACAGAAGCAAAGTAAAGATCTTGGATTTTTATATTATATTACCATTTTTGGTACACCCAATATACGTGATATGCACATGTGCACTTTTTCAGTTGAACACGAAAAAGAGAAAAGAGAAACATGCCTTTTTTGTTTTCTATTTCGAGAAAAATCTTGGTTAGATTTCGATTCATGAAAAGTTAAATCTGCGCATTCGAGTTTTAGGTTTTTTCAATAATTATTATTAATTTCTTTTATATGTAGTTACTTTTCAATCAACTCAATCGATCATCTTACATTTACTTCAATTGAAGTGTCATTACATGAAGGGAGTACATAAAATATTTTATCTAGTTCAAGTCGCTCCTGGTATGCAACATGTAAAAATTAATTTCAGCTTTTAAATATTATACTCATCAATGCATTTATCTCCGAATGATTTCAAAAGTGAATTGTAGATCTTTGTATTACCCATATTCAAAAAGTTGACACTATTCAATTAGATATCATTTCTCGAGAGTTTAATCATCTTCATGATATTAGTCTATCGTTGGGAACTGGAACAATTTTCATTAATATGCTTATTCTAAAAGTACTTTCATTGTGAAAAGATAAAAAACTTTGTGGCCTTCACATCAGAAGTTTATTAACAGATGAAGTAGGTAACACACTTTATCAGTGGCTTATCAATCACAGTCATTTTCATTCTTGATTTATTAGCACATTTTCAAATTATTCCTTCAGTCCATTTGGTCAAACTAATTCGAAAAACTTTGAACATTTTTACTAATAATATTTATCAAATTGAAGAAGAATTTTTCAAGATATCAAAGAAAAACAAACGAAATAAGTGGATATTTAAAAAAAAAACTTTAAAATGTGCTTTAATCTAATTGAACAACTACAGAAATTTATTTGTTTTTATATGC